GGTCCTCTTGCAAGAGCAGCAAGTGCTCCTAGCCACTGAGCCATCTCTCTAGACCCTCATTTCAAGTCTTTCTTTTATATTGCAGTTGTCTTATTTAGTATTTTTATTTTTTAAAATTTATTTATTATGTATTTAGTGTTCTGGGCACCAGATCTCATTATAGATGGGTATGAGCCATTATGTGGTTGCTGGGAATTGAACTCAGGACCTCCGGAACAGCAGTCAGTTACTTAACCTCTGAGCCATCTCTCCAGCCCAACTGAGCCATTTCTCCAGCCCAACTTGGTATTTTTAAAAAAATATACATGCATGAGCATTTTGCCTCCGTGTATGCGTAGTACTACATGCATGTCTGGTGCCCATGGAAGTCAGGAAAAGGCATTGGATACCCTGAAACTGGAGACATGGATGATTGTGAGCCACATCATGGGTTCTGGAAACTAAACAAGGGTCCTCTGAAAGAGCAAATACTCTTAACCCCCGAGCCACTCTCCAGCCCTGACTGAGTAGTATTTATTTGGTGATTAAATTGTTCACTTGTTTTGCACCACAGCTTTACTGAGCCGAATTGTCAACTGTAGACTTGAAAGCATGTTTGTATTTGTGCAGAGAGTAAAGGCCAAAATGAGAACCAAATACACTTCTTCTTAGCAGAATCACACGTCTTGTTGACATGGGCGATTTTGTCATTGTGTGAATGTCAGCATGTTAACACAAGATGGCTGTGATATTACTAGGCGACAGAATCTTATGTAATTGCTGTCATCTGTGTGGTTCAGTCTGTTGATAGAAGCGTCCCCGCTGCATGACACATGAGCAGCAGAATGAAAGAGGTCAGTAAGCCCTGCTTGTCAGGCTGTTTGTCTTTCTGGACTCTTTACAGAGTGTGGTACCCAGCCCTGCTCCTTCAGTTAAAGACACCAGCCCATCATAGTGCAGGTGTGTGCTGGGCCAAAATGTTCTTTTCATGCTAATATTGGAGGAATGTCTATTTAATTATTGTCAACACAGCAGCTCTGGGCATCATGGCTCTGGCCTGCAATTCCAGCATGCAGGAGGCTGAGGCAGCAGGACCATGAGTTCAGAGCCCACTTGCTCTGAAGGGAAACTCTGTTTCAAAACCCAAATAAAAACATTCAAAGGAATATCATAGCTTGTTGTTAGACCATAGTTATAGAAAAGCTTTATGAAAATTTCTCTCTTGCTTAAATATCAGATGTGCACACACACAGCATAGACATCAGAGGGCATAACAAAGGATTTTCTAAACTGCCGTTATATAATTGCTGTTACCAGAAAGGCTTGGAAGAGTTCCGCTGTGTAGGAGAAGAATGGAATTCAGATAGAAAAGCCTGAAAAGGCACCTTTTGCAGCATGATAGCATGGGGAATGTCTGACTCCTCTGAGGTCAGCCTGGCAGTTATTGGTCTGTGCAGCTTAATGTTTTTGCAAACTGCTATCCAGAGGAAAGGCAGACTTTATCAGTAGACTTCTACTGCTGCAAAGTAGTTTGTACAGCTTAAAATAGTGTAAAATTTATGTATATGTTATAAATTTCATTGTTTTCAAGGGTGTTTTTATTTATTTTTGTTGTTTGTTTTCTTTGAGGGGAGGAGCTAAGACAGAGTCTGTCCACATAGCCTTGGCTGTCCTAGAACTCATAGAGATTTCCCTGCCTCTTCCTCCAGAGGGCTGGGATAGAAGTTGCGCACCACAATGTCCAGCTTTATTTGTAGCTTCTTTATGCTTGCCTTCTAGCCAGAATGGACAACTTTGAAGGATCCTGGGTGACTGAGCTCTGTGAAGTATAGACAAAAATTGAGGCTGGGGAGAGCCTCTGACTCCAGAATCGATCAAACATATTTTGAGAATATTTGCTGAGAAAAGGGATGTGTTTCCTTGATCCCAGCTACTTTGGAGGTTAAGGAGAAAGGAGTTTGATTTGGGTGTTCTTTTGTATTGAGGCAGTGTTTCAGGTAGCCTAAGCTGGTTTCAAAGTTACTATGTAACCAAAGACTGGTCTTGAACTCCTGATTGTCCTGCCTTCCTCTCTTAAGTGCTGAGATTACAGGTGTGTACCACATCTGACTGACTCTGGGACCCTGAGCCCAGACTGGGTAGCACAATGAGACCCCTGCTTATAAATCAATAAATCCACTTAAAGTGTGATAGATACCAGCTGTATGGAGTGTTTAATGATTTTGACTTTTTAGACAGGGTCTCACTATTGTAGCCTTGGCTAGCGTAGAAACTTCAGTGTAGATCAGGCTGGCCTCAAACGCAGAAGTCTGCCTGCCTCATTCCCTGTAGTGTTAGGATCAAAGGCATTTGCCACCACCAGCATGGTTTTTACTATTTTTTATAAGTAAGAGTGTTATGTATGGCATGATTGTTTCCTGAAAGTTTTTGGATTTCATATAATAAAATCATAAAGGTAATCTTCACAGTGTCAACGATATTTAAATACACTGTATATCATGTTTAATCTTCATGGTAACCCAGTAAAGTTGATATTGATATTAACCCAACTGACAGATAAGGAAACAGACATGGAATTTAGATCCCAGGCCACACAGAATCTGAATCCAGGAAGTCCTGACTCCAGAATCTGCTTTAAATGACTGTTTTAAACCATTGTAGATTCTCCTTAGTACCACCTTGTATTTCCCTCCTTCCCTCTCTCCCTCCTTCCCTCCTTCCTTCTGCATAGCAGACAAGCATTTTACCACTCACTGAGATCTACACTATTCTTTCCTTTTCTTTTTTTTAGATTTATTTATTATGTATAGAGTGTTCTACCTGCATGTATGCCTGCTCGCTAGAAGAAAGCATCAGATCTCATTACAGATGGTTATGAGCCATCATGTGGGTGCTGGGAACTGAACTCAGGACCTCTGGAAGAGCAGCCAGTGCTCTCAACCGCTGAGCCATCTCTCCAGCCCCCCTTTTATTTTCTTAAGCTGCATCCCAGGCTAGGCTAAGCTCAGTAGTAGTTGTCTGGCCTTCGCCGGCCAAGTTCTGAGATTATGGTACACTACCATTCCTGACTACTTTGGCAGACTTAATGACTATTGGACATACTTAGATTTGAGGTTAGATACTCAACTATCAGAAGCATTAGGAACTCGAGAGCCTAAGATTGCTTATTCTTGGGTAGGAATTGTAGGGAACTGGAAGTCATGATTTTCTTATACAAATTCACTATAGAGACATCAGGACTGAACATGACCTGTTCAAAAATTAAGTATTTATAGAAAACGTTTTCAACAAGTGTATCAGTAAAATATTAGGTAATTCGTTCTCAAGTATTTGAGATTATTTGAATTAATTCATTGAGATAGGGTTTCTCTCTGTAGCTTAGGCTGGCCTCAAATTTGGTATTGTCCTCCTTCAGCCTTCTGAGTGACCTAATTTGAAATTAATTCCTTCTTCTCCTATATAGAAGTCAGCCCAGTCCTGCAAGACTCTGTACTTTACCATAAACTGAGACTGACTTGTGACTCAGAAGAAAAAGTTGGGGTTTCTTTCGTAGCTCAGACTGGCCTCCAGCTCACCCTGCACCTTAGGCTGGCCTCTGCTGCCTCAGAGTGCTGGGATCGGCATGAACCATCACAACAACTGAAATTTGTTTTTGTTTGGCAGGAATACCAAATTAGAAGAAGATGGAGTCAGTGGAATGATGTGTTACACTTCTAGGTTTGGGGTTTAAATGCTATCTTCAGTGTGAAAATACCTTTTCTCTAATTATTAAAGCATAATATTCCATGCAAGGAAACTTGATTAAAAGACAAAATAGAGTGGCATTTCCCTTCAACATACTGTTGTGCACAACAATCTGGTTGCTGTTAGCATTGCTAAAGTCACCACATTTAAGCTTTTGATAGACTTAGAGAGTAGATTCATGCTCTTGAGTACCGAGATTACTGGAGAGAGACATCCGGCCTCGTTACTTATAATAAAAATGAGAGAATTGCAGCTTCATGGCATCCCACCAGTTAATGAGAAAGTGAAAATCATAAGTGCAAGCTCTGATTTAATAGTTGGACAAAAATATATTAACCTTTTAATTTTACGGGGAGGGGGAAAGAATGTCAGTTACTAATTGTAGTTTCTCTTCCTATTCTCTGCTAGAGCTACACACACACACACACACACACACACACCTGTATTAGCAAATAGATATTTATAATTTACTATGGTGGTGTGTGCATTTTCAAAATAGCAGTCTCATGGTGACTTTTTCTCCCAGATTCTTTGGATTTGAAAAAACGTTTTTTGATACTGATATTTCTTGGTAGATGAAAAAGTGTGAGCTGGCTCACTCAGCTCTGACTGTGGGAGGCCACGTGAGAGATTCCCAGCAGCAAGGTGCTGTGGAAGGTTTCAGACCTAGGAAGTCAGGCTGTGCCGCAAAAGCAAGCCTGCAGAAGTGCTGAGTCATCAGAGCGTTGGCAAGCAGGGGCGGTTCCATTGCCACCAATGTTTTTCAGTCTCTTAGCATGTATGTCCATTTCCTTTTCCTTTTAGCTGTGCCCCCTTCAAGTTTCCAAACACTGAGGGTTTTTAAATACAGTAAGTATTTGGACACTGTCTTAACAATCCATCTTTTCAATATGATAGCAGAAAGGGTGGCTGGAGTCCAGCTCAGTAGTGAAAGTCTTGCCTAGTAACTACACCCAAGGCCTGGAGTTTCAGTGTTCACCTAGAAGTGGGAACATGTTGAGACAAGATTGGAAACCCATATACGAGATAAAAGATGAGTTGTCTACATACAAAAAAAATTCTCATTTATTCAAGATACATTGTAGGAGAAAGCATCACGTGCATATAAATGTAAATATGATTTAAACTTCGTTAGTTAAAAAATTGCAGCAAGTAGCAACAAATTTTTTAAAGAATTAAAAGAAAATATATTAATAATAACAGGGAATGTTAAAAAGGGAGACTTCTTCCCCATGTTTTCAAAAATCTTTGTCATTAAGTATATACTTAAAATGAGGAGAAATGTGTTTTTGATGTAGTTGTTACCTTGCTGCCTCTTGTGAGTAGCATTCGGGTTGATCAGGGTTAGGTTTACTCTGCACCGAGCCTGTTGAAATCTGATCCTTTCTCCTAACCCTTCCCGCAGTAGGGAAACAGTGACCCTCAGAGTGGGATCTGCTTCACTTGTAATGAACACAGACAGTGAGCTTTTACAAATAGTGAATTATTAAATATTATCAAAAACTAGTTAAAATCATTCTCCAGTCACTTATGTTAAAATTCTGCTTTTCAATTTTATTATAGCCTTTTTACCATGTGAAATTTTATTATAGTGACTTCCTCACCTTTTCAGACTGATAGACCCTAGGAATTTTGAAAATGACCCAAATTGTTTGAAGACTTTAAGTGTAAACACCTCATATTTTAGTTCTGTATATCTTACAGCCAGGTAACTTGAGATTGGAATACCTACAGTAAATTCAGGGCTTTTCTATCTCTATAATTACTTTAACGTGGGGTACCTAATCCCACGTGGGATGGCTATAATTATTTCTGTTGCCTTTTTGCCTCTAATGGAGTAACTCCGTCGGCAGTTACCGCATTCTGTGCTGAAATACTGGTTTGCTAAATCCACAGGAAATAAAATGGTAGAGCCAGAGGAAAGGGAATAGTTAATCACGGAGGAGGAGGGACGCAGCCCAGCACTTTGCCTAGAGGCCGCTGGGAAAGTGACGTCCTGTAGCATTTGCTGTTCTAGAAAGTACAGAGACACGTAGTGCAAATGGGAGGGTCTAGAAGGAGGCCGGCTCTGGTGTGGTGTATATTTATCTGTAAGTGAGCTGCTGGGGAAGGGATTAATAGAGACGCTGCCTGCTGCCTCCAGACAGCTGAGCCCAATCGCTGATTGCTTTAACTTTTAAGACACCCAGCTTGCTTCATTCTTTCGGAATCGTCGTATTGCTAAGACTGGGGACACTGTTTTCTTTTACAAAGGAAAATCTAAGTTCATTTCAAGGCATTCGAAATGGGGAAAGACTATTATTCAATTTTGGGAATTGAAAAAGGAGCTACAGATGAAGATATTAAAAAGGCTTACCGAAAACAAGCCCTCAAATTTCATCCGGACAAGAACAAATCCCCTCAAGCAGAGGAGAAATTTAAAGAGGTCGCAGAAGCTTATGAAGTATTGAGTGATCCTAAAAAGAGAGAGATTTATGATCAGTTTGGAGAAGAAGGTAAGCTGCACATTTTTGTTCTTACCTTTTTTCTGTCTCTCAGCTTTCTGATTATCATTAAGTAAGATCGTCAGATATACCTAAAATAAAAAGAAAAATGACTGGTAATAACAAGATCTAATTCTTGGTTATTTGAGTGAGCTATGAATGAAATGCTCATGTTTGTCTTTTGGGTCTTTTTAAAAACAATATTGTATTATATATATTCTACTGTAGACTTAGCATCTTATATTTTAAAAGAAGCCTTAAATTCCTGTACTGAGGAATGAATTGTTTAAGAGTCTTATGCAACCTGTTTTGCTTTCTTAATGGATTTTTTTTGGTTAAAATTAATAGAATCTTCAGTCATTTAAAATCTTAAGATTGGCAGTTCAGTTCTGTGACATTTATATTTTATTCAGAAAAAAAACAAGAAGTTTTTTGCCTTTGTAGAGCAATCTAGTGAGACTGAGCAAGACGGAGCCGTGTCTTAGACGCAGAAGGCACAGGCATTTAGCTTCTAGTTGTTTTTGGCAATCTGCCTAGAGAAGAAAGAATTTCCCTGATGTCATAAAATACCAGGACAAGTTTTTTAGCTTAATTGTAAACAGTAATTGTGTGCCAGGAGAACAAGATCTCATTTTTTTTTTTAAAACCTAAAATGGCCACCTAGTTAGAGCACTGACTGATTTTCTTTTAGTTAACTATTCCTTTCAGAATTTCCCTGTCATGTGAATAGGAAAGCGTGACAGGCAGCTCCCTTTCCCTCAGTCATATTTTTTTCTTGCCTCTGAGAGCAGAACTTAGCTCAGTGCACGGGAGACCTTGATTGTCTCCTTTTACCATTCCGGCCTTAGCTCAGGTCTGTCCAGCATCTCCATGAGCGGCAAAGTAGGACTTCGACACCGTCAGTCAGCAGCAGCACTGCTTTAATTCATAAGGGTATGGGCTTTCAAGTCTTAAAATTGGGACTAACGTTCTCTTTCATTACTTTTCCCCAAATGTCTTCCAAGTCACCGTGGCTATGGAAACAGCTTTGTTTCCCCTTTGTTTATAGCATTTAAACATTGGATTTCCCTAATCAGAAATAAATCCTTCAAACAGCCACGCAGTGACCACTCACTTTGCGTTAAGCAAACTATATTGGCAGTTTGGTGCAGTAGTAGGGAGGCTCTTTTCCTAGTGCTTCCTTTTCTTGGTCAGAGTACCAAGAATTAAGGTTTATTCTGCTGCCGTTGGTAGTGGTGCGGATCTACAGGGTCAGGTTCTTACAAAATGAGTAACTGAAAAAAAGCAAGTAGTGGACAGTTCAGCCTCTCTGCTCAGTATGGTCCCACTGATGCCATGATGGGAATGTCTCAGGAGCGGGCAGGACCTCCAGACATCACCAGGACCCTGGCCTCTCTGGAGAAGGTGGAGAGGTTCTGTGAGTTCCATAAAAGCCCCTTGGTAAAGGCAGGCTATTTGGTTCCTTCTGAGCACATCTCTGTTGTGACTACGCCATGTAGGATTCAGGCTTTATTAAACATGTTTTGATGTTAGAGTTTTCAAGTCACTCAATGGTACACTTAGTTCTTTAAGGCCCCTTTTGGCAGTGCTTTTCTTGAGTGATCCCTCATCACGCTACTTTGTTTTTTTTTTTGGTTTTGGGTTTTTTTTTTTTTTTTTTTTTTTTGATCATTACCAAAGTGACTTAAAATTTGAAAACCTACATCAGCATTGTCTGTATGCCCTGGGTCTTTTTTTCATTCTTGGTGTTCCTAGCCCAGATGAGTGTTGTAAGCAAGGGAAGGAGTGGAGGCAGGACTCTTGTCTTACAGCATGCAGCACATTATTCGGGGATGCTATGTAGTTGTAAGCTGTTTGAAAATACAGCGGAAGGGAAAATTGTTGAGCTTTTAGAGCTCCTCCCTCATAGAAAAGTGGTTCGTTTCTTTACCGTTCAGCAGACGAGCAGACAGTAGTTTAAACCCTCTGGGGTGGGAGGGTAGCTCAGTGTCCTGGCACTTGTCAAGTGTGTGGGACCCCTGCTCTCAATCCTTAGCACCTCCCCACAAACATCTCCTGTGGGGACACTGTGAGGTCTTGAAGGAGCTTTCTTTTTCTTTCTCTTTCTTATTGTCTATACTCATAGTCCTCGGTCTGTAGCCCTCTACAGTAGTAAGATATACTGAATTCTAAGAATGCAAAAATACTGACTTACTACCTAGAGCCTCCTCCCGACCCATTATCATCTTAGAACTAGGAGAGCAGAAATAAGGAACTGTGGGAAGTGTATGAGATAATCTGATTTGTCCATGCTGTGCAATTCTTTTAGCATTTGAAATTTAGGATTTTTTATTGAATAAAGTAGCTCTATTTTAAAGTTACTATGGTCTGTAGTAGTTCTATTCCTAGGAACCTATAAGGGGGGGACATTTGCTCACATAAAGACATGTGCCTGATTGTTCACAGCAGCTCTAGTGAGGGCCCTGCATGCATCACCTGGTTTAGTAAGTAAACACACACACACACACACATATACCAAATGGAGTGTTCTTAATAATTAAAAGTACCCACTTAATGAAATATATCACAGCTCGATGGACCTTGGAAAATATGCTGGGCGAAAGAACCCAGATATAAGAGACTATAAATATTATGTAACTCAGTTTAGGGGAGATGTCTCGAGAAGACAGCTCTATAGAGATAGCTGGGCTAGATTGCTTGGGGCTGGAGGGAGAGGTAGGTGTCAGCTGTAAGAAGCAGAGAACGCTTCAGAATGGCGGCAGTGGTAAAACTGTGTAAGTTCTTTACACTTGAACTGCATACTAGTTAGCTTTGTCATGTAGTCTGCATATTAAATAATAGATCAGGTCTCTCCACACCTGAAACATTTGAAAATAATCATGGAACTACAGAAATTTAAGAATGGATTCTGACATATTCTCTGCCCTAAAGTGTTAGGTTTGGCTAAGCAGACATGAGCAGAAGTTTGTGTTAAACACTTACTCTTTTTCTCTATTGGGCCAGAGAGATGACTCACTGGGTAAAGGTGCTTGTTGGCCTGAGTTCAATCCCTGGGACCTATCCTGAAAGTTGTCCTCTGACCTCTGCATGCATCCCATGGCACACATGTGCCCACAGACCAACCAGCTGACCACAATAAATGCAATTTTAAGATGTAAAAAATAAAGAAGTAAAATTTCCCCTCAAAACACACCTTGGCTCTGGTGTTCTGACTCCCTTTCCTCCTCCTCTGCCTGTTGATTACTGCTTACTCACTAATTTTCTTTGGCTGCTGGAAGTTCTTTTATGTCTTCAAACTTAAGTCTTTGGTATATTAGCCTTCATCTAGTCTACTGTTCTCTTTAATGCAGTTAATCAGCTGCACCTCTTCATTTTCAGTGTTCTGGAGATATGTAAGTTACTCGGTCTTGTGAGCTCAACTGTTGAAAGGCTCTTGTTCTATAACTCTGAAGTCTTGCTACAAGTCAAAAAGTTTTATACATTCTGTCTCCTTGAAGTAAAAATTAGTAAACCCCATCATTTCTCCTTTGCAAATTCAATTCTTTAGTATTTCTTCTTTTCTTAATTTTTTGTCAGATAAGTAATAGAAGTCATTGCTATGAGTAGTGTCCCCAAAATGTATTTGTTTTGCATATTAAATTGGCTACTGGATCTCAGGCTCAGGCAGAAGTGGGATTAGAGTCCATTCCCTGACTAGATGGTCGTTTCAGAAAACGAGAAACTAGAAAGCATTTCAGCGCAGAGGGAATCCAGCTGGATGCTGACTGTTTTTATTGGAGTTGCAGTGTACAGGATTAAGGTTAACTATCTAGCCAGCGATGTGCTTGTTGGAATCAAATGTTTGGCAGTGCAGAAGACAGTAAGAACTTCATGCCATATTACAGCGGCATTTTGGTAGGATTTTCTCATTATTAAAGTAGCTTCATTCTTTATCTGACCTACATAGTTGACCATTCTATGTCTAGAAAAATCCCAAGGCTGCATTTTGTCGGCTGTGATGAGTAAGTCACTTCAGCTGTGTGTAAATTTTCTCACAGACTATAATACTGACTGAATTACCATTTTTGGGAGCAAGGGAAGAGGTTTTAGAGAAAAGCCAAACCTATGATGTAATACTGAAAATGTTATTCTTTTTTTTTTTTTCTGTTATGTGCCCTAAGCATTTAGATTTCGCCTTTTAGAGAGCTAAGGGTAGGCAAGCTCATTCACCCAACTGTTAACTGTTAACTTTGTGAGATCTCTGGGAGGAGGGACACAATGATTGAAGTAACTTAGGTCCTCATTTAGTTGCCTTGTCCTGACTTTGAGTTCTACACTTCCTCTGTCATCTAAGAAAGTCTGTCATTAACTTTTTCACATTTGGAGCTGCAATTGTACTAACAAAAATTATACTGAATGAGCTGCGCTTTAACCACGCCCACCCCAGACTTGCCAGTCCACTTCTACAAGGAAAACCCCAACTACTATTTGGATTTATCACTCATATTCCCTCTCTTCCCCCTAACTCTGTGTGTGTGTCTGTCTGTCTGCCTGTCTGTGTGCGTGTGCCCTTTAACAATACAGTAAGATGAAAATTAAGTCTTTCTGGAACTTCCGATGATTACATCGCATGTTGCATGTGTTATTTTCTTTTGCTTTGTCTTCAGGCTGATCCTCAGAACACCTTCTCTAGTTTCAACTTAGGAGGACTTTAAGAATTGGTTGATTTTCTTCATTCAGTAGACTGGAGTGCCTGTCATTTTCAACCCCATGTGTATGAGCCATGCAAAAATTAGCAACATATTTTCCCTGCCCTTAAATCAATTTGGGATGTAAGAATCTCCCAGTTTAAACTAGTTTTTCATAGTTTTGTAATCTTCCTTTCCTTCCTTACTTTTTGGTTAGGAATTCTTCTAAGGCTTCTCCAGAAACTTCACTTCCAATGATAGAAATCTTTGCCAAGATTGGCCTCCTAAAACATCACTATGTTGTTTTGTGGATTTTAGTTGAATCTTCTTTTGGGATGTGGTAGAAATGCTATGTAATCTTTGTCAGCTACATGTTACTTTGTTGGGCAAAAGGTCACGGTACTGCTATCAGACAGAAATAACTAGCCCAGGTTACATGCTAGAAAGACCTGAGGCTCTTGATTTCAGTCCTGGGTTTATTGCGAGTGGGGCGATGGTGGCACACGCCTTTAATCCCAGCACTTGGGAGGCAGAGGCAGGCGGATCTCTGTGAGTTCGAGACCAGCCTGGTCTACAAGAGCTAGTTCCAGGACAGGCTCCAAAACCACAAAGAAACCCTGTCTCGAAAAAAACAAAAAACAAAAAAAAAAAAAAAGAAGAAATAGATAAATGCTTTGAGTCAGGATGCGATAAGGTAGACCTAAGGACCTAAGGAGTCTTGTTATCTTAGATGATGATAATCTAGTGGACACAAAAACATTTTCCATACTGTCCTCTAATAGAGTTTTTTCCCCCTTGCTCCCAAGAATTAGTCCTATTTAGTTCTTAAACAGTAAAAGATCTGGCTGGAGGCTGGAGAGATTGGTGAGCACTTAATAGTCAAGCTCATTCCCAGCACCCATGTCAGGAGGCTCACAACCCTCTCTAATTCTAACTGCAAGGGATCTGATGCCTCTGGCCTTCATGGGCACATACACTCATGTGTGCATGCTCACATGCAGACACACATGCGTACACATAGTTAAAAATAATAATAAAATCTTAAAAATCAGCAAAAGAAATGAAATAGAGCTACTTAGTATGAATATTATATTACTTATCATTATTGCATCAGTTAGTTATAGTGGCACTTAAGGATTTAAGTTATTTGTTGATTATTAAATTCCTCTTAATACACATCATTAAAACTTTTAAATTTGTAATACTTCAGTATTTTGGAACAGTAGCTTTTGAGGTAAGGGATTCTCAGTTTCCTTTTATTTTTCATATTTATTATGAAACAAGGATTCAAGAAGAAATTTTTTTTTAATTCTTGGTGATTTAATCTTTTCTTAGCACGTACAGGGTTCTGAACTCAGTCAATAAAAACAAACATTAAATAATAAAGGTAGTAAATAAAATTAGCACAATTCAATTAATGGATTAAAAGTAGTTGTACCACAGGAAATAAATAAGGGATAAGAGCTGGACTGATGAATGGGTATACGGATAAGTATTTAAAAGTCAACTAGATACCATATCATTCAAGAAGAAATTGTTAAAGCTAAAAATTTGGAGGACTGATTTGAAAGCTAAACCTCTAACTTAGGGTGGCTCCTCAGAAGCTGTGTAACTATTCCATTTAACTATAATGATGTTTCTGGCTGTAATGGTCACCTGTCTGGCGTTCCACCCTTTTCCTAATCACGCTTATCTCTTCACCAGGGTTGAAAGGAGGAGCAGGAGGTACTGATGGACAAGGAGGAACCTTCAGGTACACCTTTCATGGGGATCCTCATGCCACATTTGCAGCCTTTTTTGGAGGCTCCAACCCCTTTGAAATTTTCTTTGGAAGACGGATGGGTGGAGGTCGAGATTCTGAAGAGATGGAGATAGACGGAGACCCCTTTAGTGCCTTTGGATTCAGCATGAATGGATATCCAAGAGACAGGAATTCTGTGGGACCCTCCCGTCTCAAGCAAGACCCTCCTGTTATTCATGAACTTAGAGTATCTCTTGAAGAAATATATAGTGGCTGCACCAAACGGATGAAGATCTCTCGAAAAAGATTAAACCCTGATGGAAGGAGTTACAGATCTGAGGACAAAATTCTCACCATCGAGATTAAAAAAGGGTGGAAAGAAGGCACCAAAATTACTTTTCCGAGGGAAGGTGACGAAACACCAAACAGTATCCCAGCAGACATTGTTTTTATTATTAAAGATAAAGAACATCCCAAGTTTAAAAGAGATGGATCAAATATAGTTTATACCGCTAAAATCAGTTTACGGGAGGTAAGTTAGTAAGACTGTGATTCTGCTGATAGCTTGTAGGGAACTCTCCTACAGGAGCCGGCTTCCCTCAGTGCTCTGCACGCTGCTTCCCTCCTCCTTCCCCTCCTCTGTTCCCCTCTGTTCTCTAGGAAGTGCTACCACTGCAGCTCTTAGGGATGACATCACAGCTTCTAAATGTAGCTGCTGACGTTGACTATTTAAATGTCAGTTTTAGTGCAAGCTTGATTAACCACTCCATGGCCTGGGGTTGGGTTAGCTCTAGTCTGGTTTTAGGTTGTGGTCTGTGATTTGCATTTGGAAACCCCATCTCTTTCATCCATTTAGACCAGTGGTTCTCAACCTTTCTAATAGATTGCTGCAGTCCTTTAATACAGTTCTTCATGTTGTGGTGACTCCCAACCATAAAGTTATTTTTCTTGATACTTTATAACAATAATTTTGGCACTGTTATAAACCATAAATTAAATACCTGTGTTTTGCAGTGGTCTTCAGAGACCCCTGTGAAAGAGCCTTCTGACTAGTCTCATAAAGGGCCCGCGATCCACAGGTTGAGAACCACTGGTTTATACAGTTCTGAAATGATTAGTTTGGAGTAAGATTTATATAACAAGTATTAAAGTATAATAAATATATAACATGATGTATAATACCACCACTTTACTGCAGCCCTGGAGTCCTTATGTGCACTGCTTCTCAGAGTCAGCTGTACCTCATGAAATGGGGTCATGTCCCTGTTTAAATTCTTTATCCTTACCATGTGTTTCAAACTATCTTAAAAGGCAGAAATGTGACTTCCACCCCCAAATATGTTTTCCTTTCCCTGAGTGTGCTGTCTTTCCTTTGTATAGTTTCTCTGTGACTCAGAGCTACACTCTGTGTTCACTCAGCCTGATGCAGTGCAGACCTTGTTTAGTTTAGGCCCTTGCTAGTCCCAGTCGATAAGGGATGATCCGTGTGTCCTTTCTGTCACGAGACCTCTCCCACACCTTTCTGTTCATGCTCTACTCCATTGACGTCACTAACTCACTCGTGTGTTTCTGAGTTCCTTATGCATTTCTGGTGGTGAAGTCCTGGCTCGTGGTCTCTCAGTGGTTCAACAGGAACTGTAAAGCATCTAATAGACACTGAAGGCCTTCTAGAGAAGCAGGTCTTGCTTCTGCTCAGTTCTAAGATCTTCCTTTTCTTCCATTCAAACTCCTGCATCTTGAATATTGACGGCTTCAAACTGTTTGTTTCCTAAGGCACTGTGAAAGACATCTGTTGCTTCTCCTTTCTTTTCTCCTTTCTATTCTGTCTCTGGTGTCATCTGGTTATGCTTCTCTTGAATGGATTTTCTAGAACAGGGAAAAGATTTTGTAACTGTTGTAATCCTTTTGGAAATTAAAATATCACCTTCATGGTATTATCCTTTACCACCCAGCAAGATCTTGTATTGTCCAGTTTGGAAGTTTATTAACTTCATTTTATTTGGTCCACTTTAGGCACTGTGTGGTTGCTCAATTAATGTGCCAACAATGGATGGAAGAAACATACCTATGTCAATCAGTGATATTGTGAAACCTGGGATGAGGAGAAGAATTATTGGATATGGGCTGCCGTTTCCAAAAAACCCCGACCAGCGTGGTGACCTGTTAATAGAGTTTGATGTGTCCTTCCCAGATGTCATATCATCGTCATCCAAAGAGATCCTTAGGAAGCATCTCCCTGCCTCATAGAATGAGAAGAACCTTGCTACCCATGTTTTGATAAGACACTGAAAATATAAAACGAATGGCAGTGGACTGATGTGCATTCTCTGTAGAGCTGTGTAAACGCCTCCGAGGGTTCATGAAAGTGCATGGATAGAGACGGGTCAAATAGGCAAAGTGGATTTTTACAGCAGAGCTGAAGAAAAAAATCACTCACTGTATTGTATTTCATTTCTCCCAAATCAGAAACTTCTAGTATTTCATTTATAAGTAAAAGTTGGTTTTGTGGTCAGTAGATATACCTCTAGTAAAGTCCTAGATCGCCCGAGTACTTTACTGTGTGTGTCTTTAAGTGATCAATGTGATAGACTTCCCTAGTAGAAATTAAAATTCTTACCTGTACATGTAATATGTGGGGGAGAATAAAAGACAAGGTCACGTGGAAGTGTGACCCAGGCCACCTTCAGAAATGCTCCTTCGGGCTGGTACCAATAGACGAAAGTACTGACGCGCAGTTCTCCACCGTGACCGCGCAGTTCTCCACTGTGACTGCGCGGTTCTCCACCGTGACCGCGCGTGTGCTGTCGCATTTCTTAAGAGTATGGTCTCAGTGCTCTTAGAGCCGCCCTCTTCACGAAAGAAAATGAGCAGCAGTTTATCTCCTGTGGAACTCCCAATAGCCCGAATTACTGATACTTTAGCAACTGACCATTGGTAAATGGCCACCTGTACTTTTATGCAACTTTGACTACATATCTTGAACTAAATACAATGAGCTTATTTTGTTTATTAGTTTATGATAATTTGTTTAGTAACATTTGTTTTTAGAGAAAATACTGCTACCTGGCATTAATTTTCCATTTATAGTCTTCTATCATAATATGCTATATGTACCTTACATAATTTCCCTAAGAACAGTGAGCTACCACTATGTGTTAAACCAAATATGGATAGACTAGACACTACTGCTGCTCACGGGTCATGTTGCTCCTAGTTGTTATGCATATAAATATCTTACTTTTTCATGTATATAGATTGTGTTTCTTAGGTGTTTTAATTTTTTAAATATATTTACATTTAAAAATTATTCTGCCTTCTGTTTTATGTCTATCAAAAGTGATGTTATGAGATAGTTTTTTTGTAAAACAACATTGAGAATGATACATCTTCATACATATATGTTTATGTATGAATATTCATTTATAAATATATATTTATGTATGAATGTTTGGCCCTATAAAATTAGTAGAATGTAAATTGATTTGGAAATTCTTTGTAAGTTATAATAAGCATATAGCTTGCGGTTTTATTGAAACAATTCTCATAAGATAGCATTTATACTAATCTCCCTCCCTCCCTTTTTTTTTTTTTTGGTGTTGATGACTGGATTGGGAGCCTCCTGCACACAAAGTACCTCTGACCTTGGAACTATGCCCCGGCTTCTTCATGCCCTTTTCTAGTGTATGTTAATGGATTTAGTACATTTATGTCTCTTTCCCATGAGAAGCCCATGTCACTCCCCATTCTTCCCTTTCAGCTCTTGAAGCACCCATCTGCTTTTCGTGATAGATTTTTTTTTTTTGTCCTAAGTATGTCAATCAACGTATGGCTCTTTTATGTGATTTCTCTCAGTTATCAGTGACTTCTTCCCTTTCAGTGGCAGATCAAGTACACAGGTGGGATACCATTTTGTTTACCTCTTCATAGGTGTTTTAGGCCTTTGGGTTTTATCTCTCAGTGGCTTGTATGAATAATGACTCTGTGAGCAAACTTGTGTGTGGGCAGAGCTGACTACATTCACTGCAGTACACACTTGAGAGTGGAATCGTTGGAAACAGCTACAATGTTAGTTGCAAATGGAAAATTAAAAAATGCCAGAGAGTTGAGGTAACCACGGTATCTCTATGAACGTCATGGAAATTCTCTTACAAATAGAAAGAGCTAAAGTCTTGGAGGAATGGCTGTAGCTCACATTCAAAACCCACAGTATCTAACTACTGGGTTGTTTGTTTGTGTTGGTTTGTTTTGTGTGTGTTTATTTTGTCTGTTTCGAGGTACGGCCTTGCTTTGCAGCCCCAGCTGGTGTGGCATTCCTGTGTGGCTAGGTTGGTTACAGCAGTCTTTCTTCCTGCCTCCCAGGAGCGCTGGGACGACAGGCCTGCGCTGTTCACACCACATCTGCCGTGAACCAGCAGTTACTACAGTCTTTCTGAGTAAACATTTTCCCCAAGGCAAATAAAGAGTTTATGAACACAGTTAGCTTTCAGTTAGAGCTTTTTTTTAGTAGACAATTATTCTAGTAGTAAAATAATGTCCATAGCTATTGGGCTGGGGCTGTGGTTCAGTGGCAGCAGTAGAATAAATTATAAAGCTATATAAATTTAGAGGAAGTGTAATTCTTCACAGTGTAATAAGTGCCCAATTTCTATTTGTTAAATGTTGAATTAATAGTAATAGTAAAGTGTTAAATTTTTCCGATCTAAATTGTGAGAGTACTTTTGATTTAAAAATGTTCATTGTAGGGACTGGAAAGAGAGGACTCAGGTTAAGAGCACTTGATGCTCTTACAAGTGGACCCGGGTTTGGTTCTCAGCACCCACATGGTGGTTCAGAGCCCTCTGGAACTCCAGTTCTGGGGACACCTCTTCTGGTCTCTGTGGCACTAGGCACTCAAGTGGTACACCAATATTCATGTAGGCAAAACATACACTTTTTTTAATCTTTAAAAAATGTTTAATTTACTAGTCCTTGTATAGCTAAAATAATTTTACAGTGTAACAAATCCAGGAAAGCTCCTTATTAGAGATGTTTGCTCTTTCTACAAAAAGAAAGCATGCATTTCATATGTTAAAAAAACATGAGGTAACAGGGTGGTCCAGATAGGGGAAGGACAGAGAGGAAGAACAAGGAAAGAGATGCCTTGATTGAGGGGGGCATTATGGGCTCGCAAGAAACCTAGCACTAGGGAAATTCCCAGGAATCCACAAGGCTGACTCCAGTTAAAACCTAAGCAATAGTGGAGAAGGAACCTGAACCGGCCTTGCCCTGTAATCAGATTGATGCACATCTTAGTTGTCACCATAGAACCTTCATCCAGCAACTGATGGAAACAGATGCAGAGACCCACAGAGAGGCACTGGACTGAGCTCCTAAAGTCCAGTCAAAGAGAGGGAGGAGTGAGAATACGAGCAAAGAGATCAAGACCATGATGGGGGCACCCACTGACAGTTGGGAGAACCAGCACAGGACCAAACTAGGCCCTCTAAATGTGGGTGACAGTTGTATGGCTGGGGCAGTCTGTGGACTGGCAGTGGGATCAGGATTAATCCCTACTACTTGAACTGGCTTTTTGGAGCTCATTCTCCTTGGAGGGATACCTGGCTCAGCCTAACTACAGTGGGGTGGGCCGTGGACCTGCCTCAAGTGACATGTCAGACTTTGCTGACTCCCCATGGGAAGCTTTACCCTCTCTGAGGACTGGATGGGGTGGGTGGGGTGAGGGGAAGGTGAAGGGAGTGGGAGGAGGGGAGGGACACAAGGGGAGTGTCCACCTTGTGGAGGCCAGAGATCAGTTGACCTGTGTGTTAGTCCTCAGGAGCTGTCCACCTTGTGTTTTCAGACAGGGTCTCTCATTAGCCTGGAACTTGCCAAGTAGACTGAGCTGACCGCTGTGCCCCAGGGATGCTGGTCTGTTACCCAGGGCCTGGGTTACAGGTTACACTATGCCATGCCGTATGAGTACTGGGACTCGAACTCATATCCTTGTTCTCACACGCAATAATTTTACTGCCTGAGCTATCCCTCAGACCTAAAATAGGTTATTTTTCTTAGTATATAATAATCCACAATTACGATGTACCCTTTATTAATTAAAAAAAATACACACCAATATTGTTTTCAAAATACTATAAGGTTGTACCCAACTTTATTCAACTATACAAATTAAGATCTTCAAAGGGTCTGTGAGATCCAGCGGGTGACAGCACTTCCTGCTGAGCCGTATGACCTCCGCTGACCTCTAGAGCTCACACCTAAGACCATGGACTCCAGAAAGTTGTCTTCTGACTTCTGCACTCACGCCATGGCACCTACATGCCCCAACCCAGTAAATAAAACAGTGAACGATTCCGAAGGTGAAAGATGTTATGTTAAATGTAAGGGTAAATGGTGAGGGAGGAGGAGGAGGTGAAAAACTCCTGCACATTTTATCCAGGAAAGTTTACAGTGACACAGGCTGCGGTGTGACTTGCCGGGATAGGAATTCCTCCAAAATGAAACGTGGCTGCTGAGCTGCTAGAATTCTGAGTGGAGTGGTTGCATTTATGGAGTCATTCTTGAGATAATGTTTTGTTTTGGAGACAGTCTGTGCCTGGAGGTGGTGCTGGTCTAGCACTAAAGTAGTCACCCTTGGTCTCAGAGCCACCACCGACAGCTTTGAGATAGTTTTAAAAAGAGGAAGCTAAAGGCTGGATAGGAAAAATGTAGCGAAGCAGGGCTGGCGAGAAGGTTAAGAGTTTGTCCGAGTGGTCGGGGGGTTTGCTCTCTGATATGGGGAATGCTGGACCCGAGGCCCACGGAGCCACAGCTACTGTCTGCATTTCATTATCTTAACAGTTCAAAAACAGAAACGGGCTGGAGCTGTAGCGGATAAAGTTTTGTAAAATTGATAGAGGGAATAAAACTAAAAAGTCAGTCTGTGTTTCAAATATCCTTTAACCTTTTACTGAAACCTTTTTCTTCTTTTTAACTTTTTTAAAAATTGAATTTGTTCTTTGACAACTTCATAAATGTATATAATGCTTTCCGATTGGTCCCACCCGACGCATCTCACCTCCCTCCTACCACTGCTAAGACTCCTGCCTACAGATGGCTTTCCCACGGTCAGGCCGTGTTGTGCTTCGTGAACCCCTGAATTTAACCAGGGCTGTCTGTGTGACCATGGATTTGGAGCTGCCAGTTAGAGCAGATGGGTTTAACAAGGCGCACAGCTGAGAACAGTGGCTCCTGATCTCCCAGAATCTATCGGTAGCCCAAGGGTCCGGCAGGTAGGCAACCGTCACCCAAGACTGACAATGAGCAAGGGCAGCCTTGAGCGTGCTCAGTACAGGGGACCCTGGTTGCTGAGTTCATGATTGCAGTGTCTCCCATGGGGCCCAGACGGTGTTAACCATCTTCCTGTTACCTACCTCTTAAGTTCGTCTGCCTCTGGTCTGTTGGGTTCGCGGAGCCTTAGACGGCGTGGCTTAGCTCTTCTGTTTAGGAAGGAGCACACAGCTGTCAGTTACTCTCTGCAGCTTGAACAGCCAAACACCTCCTGTTTGCCACAGAGCAAGGCTTCTCTGAGCAAGGCGTTCGACTATGGATATAAACACATGCCCGCACAGTAGTCTGACGTGGTGCCAATTCAGCTAAACAAGCAGCAAGTTCCCTACCCAGAGCCTGACTCCCTCAGCCATGTGTTTTCACTAGGTTTACAGTGCCAGACATTGATTTCTGTTAAAGACTTATTTATTTGAGACAGGGTGTTACTCTATAGCTAGCCATGAACTTAGGATCTACCAGCCTCTGCCTCAGCTTCCTAGGTGCTGGGAGAACAGGTGTATGCCATGATGCCAAGGCTAGATTTAGGAACACAAACATTTAAGGCTGTGTTACAATAGCCCATGGTCTCAGGGCAGTGATATGCTATGCAGGTGTGTACCCAGCCTGGTATATTATCCATCTAGATTTATACAAATACACACCAATATTAGTGCCACAAAATTGCCCAGTGGGAGAGGTCCCAAAGTGTGTTCATCTCTCTTAGTTACTTGTCTATTGCAGTGACGAGATCCCGTGATGAAGGTAACTTACAGTATGGGGGCCTTGAGTACCAGCCTCAGTAACCCCTCGGGGCTCAGAATTGGATGTCTATGACAGGCTAGGATCTGAGGGTAAAAAATTAGCTCAAATCCGTTACCTCTGTGTGTTCTTTATTTTCCATACGACAGGAGAAAGTGAAGTGAAAGGGCTCTGAGGAGAAGAATAAAGAGAAGACTTCTAGTTTTTACAGATGTAGTTGGAAAATTCCGTAAGCAAGGACAATAA